GAAATGTGTGTCGCATGTGGTAAATTTGATTGTTGTCGTGGCCATCGTTGGGCAACTTTTGGGGAATCCGGCGGAGCAGGACGATGTGTGCGCTGCGGCGTCTAGATTTTATAAGTATCTTGTGCACGATTATATCGAGCAGTGTAATATGGCTCTTTATATGTTCTTGTCTTCCAACTTTCGCGTTTTGGTGGGGAGTGTAGACATGGTCTCAGAGGAGACGCGTAACGCAACTGGGCAATTGCAGCTGCTCTACGGCGACGATGTTTTGCCAACGGAGTTGTTACACATACTAAACGGTGGATTGCAAAATTGGACACACATTGCCCCAGATGGGCAGGAAGCGGCGGGTGCTTTGGACAACGCATTTCGAGTCTTTTCAAAGTACTTGTTCTTTATCGAAGAACGGCCCGTTCCCACGCGTTTTTGGCTTTTCGCCAATTGCGTAAGAGCGCTGTTGCGCATGAAACTTATCAATGTCCCGGCTGAGGTTTTACAACTTCGTGGAGTGAACACCAATGTTGAGAATTCCAAGCGTTTGTCTAGGTTTATTGCATTTTATACGTCAGAATCGGCTGGGCAAAGGCTACGACAGGCATCGCTATGTTTGCAGTTGACTAGCTTTGCCTTGAATATTACAGCCAAAAAGAAGCAAAATCCATCAAATGCGGATCGGCCGCCTCTGATGGTGAGATTGTCGCAAGGAGAAGTACAAACCAGAACTGCGGAACAAGCGACTACATTGCTGAGCTTATTGCCGTCCGATCCCAAGCTGGAGCAGCTTCCCGCAGTGCGGCATTTGCTCACGACACAGGCCCATGTAATCATCAGAATGCGACAGTATGAAGCTTTTCCTTACGCGTTGTGGAAGCTTACTTCCGTGTGGAACTCTCAAGGCTTCGTGCTTGAAATCGAAAAGTTTCTGGAGACTCCCGATGAAGAATTGGATTTGGGTTATTCCGTGATGTTGAAGCGACTTGCGTGGGCGGAAGGTGGCTTGGCAGAAGCCATATCCTTCATGGCTGGGACTCAGGTGCAGCAAGAGTTAGAGGATATCTTTTGGAATGGTAGTGCCACATCCTTGGATGTAGAGCGCAAGCACCACCAAGATCGCAAGAGTGAAGCCCACAGGGTGGTTTCTGTCCAATGCGCATCGCGCAATGCTATTCTACGGCGCTACAGGGCCCACCGAACTACGGCTGCTCCTTGGGCTTTTTTTTTCCCGAAGGCAAGACAGAAGAGATCCTGTTTAGAGGTATTTTGGGGTCGCTCTGAATGGATGCCGAGGTGTTGTTTTGGCTGTGCCTCGCTTGATCTAAGGTTATCAAAGTGCAAGCTCTGCAGAAAAATGCCAAGAAGATGCGATTCATTTCTGCATCCGCGCTTGCTGCGAAGAGACGGCCCGAATTGCTTCCAAGGCCGGCTGGATTCCATCACACAGGGCACACAGGAGACGCACAAGCTTTGAAGATGTTTTTGGACGAAAATCGCGATGATTTAAATCGAGAAGCTGCGTCATATAGAGCCACTGCTCAACAAATGCTGCGTGAGAGCAAAGACTTGGAGCAGGGCTTCCCAATGTCAAATGCTTCGTGGCTGGCGTGGCTGGATGCAAACGATCAGGAATTTCGATCACAACTGAGGGACGCAAGCGATATGCGCCGAAATGTTGGGCTGAGACTGCAGCCACGAGAGGGTGGCCTTCCTCCTGCCCCTCGAGTTGGCCTGCGTGCAGGCGCTACTCAGGGCGCCCCCACGTGGGCGTTGAAAGTGCAACAGCATAAAGAAGGCTGGTTTTGCATTGAATCTCAAGCAGAGACGTGTGTTTTCTTTGCCGCTTCTCTTTCCCGACAAGGATTGTCCTTGCCTCTGCGCTTGGTGCAGGGACCTGTATTTGCACTGGATTTAGCTAACCCGCTTTTGGACCCTTTTCAGCCTCTGCAGAAGATGGTAGCAGCGCACTTGGGACCCTTGTCGAAGTGATTTTCAAGAGGTTAGGTTACTGGTGTGGGTTTACGGTTTACCTCGGGCTTGGGTTTGTTTGGTCATATTCAGGTCATGTTGCCCCAGATGTACCAGTATACGAGTTGGATATGGCGGTCATAAATATCGTTCCACATGTGAGAATTGTAATGAAGATTTGCGGCGCGTCTCCTGTCAATTTGCAGCCGAAGCCCCAGAAGCTGCCCAAGCGAAGCGTTGACAGCGACCTTGACGAAGACGATGTTGCATGGGAGGCCCAGAGCAATTCTAGTTGTGAGGTTGTTGCCTCTGATGTGGAGTCGGGGGTCGAAGATGCCGCTGCAGAGGAGGTGCAGAATGCGCCCGAATCTGAGGGCGAAACCCCTGACAACGAGGATGAAATCCCTGCCAGAGAGAAGCTTCCAGCAGGGACCCATGTGATCTTCAACAACGGGTACTTCACACTTGTGAATTACGCTAAGTGCGGCAAACACACAGATTGCAAGATGATAATATGCCCAAGATTTTGCACCAGTCCTCCTTTTGGAATGGGGTCAACTGGGAAATCGAAAACCGTCCAGATTTTGAGCTATGACACCAACATCCAAAGGCCACATCGAAGCTACATTGTGCTCCGATGTTGGGCACTACATCGCGCATCTCAAGCAGGCTGGCTAGAACATTCGTCAGCCCGCCAGAGATGGCACAGGCAAGAGGTGCTGTCAGTGCGGCAAGCCATCGCCGACTTGCAGTGTCTTGGCTTCAGGTTGGTAGCTCGTCAACTTTTGTTGCCTTTATCTCATTTTTTGCTCGAGAGGTTTCGTAGCAGTTGTAGTAGCGATTTACCCCTTTGTGTTAATCCCGCAGGTCTCCTCCTGGAACCACCGGAAGTGCTTCTGCTGATGCAAAGATTAGGGAGTGGGCCCCTCAAGTGCTCCAACCGGCGTGATGATGCCCTCGCTTCCTGATGAGCTAGTGTGTATTAATGTGCAATTGGCCCGGATTTTTGTCTTTTAGTGTTTAACAGTGTGTCACTGGCCTGGATTAGTGTCTTTTAGTGGCCATTAGTGTCTCACTGGCCCAGATTAGTGTCTTTTAGTGTCCATTAGTGTCTCACTTGACCCAGGTTAGTGTCTTTTAGTGTCCATTAGTGTCTCACTGGCCCAGATTAGTGTCTTTTAGTGTCCATTAATGTTCTTGACCTGATTAGTGTGTTTTAGTGTATACTGGCCTTGATCAGTGTCCTGTAGTGTTCATGATTGCCCATGGCTGCCTGAACCCTGATATCCGGGCCTTGCGAACACGAAATGCGTAGTCTTTGTCTCTAGGAAAAAAGCGAGCCCTGCACGCGAGCAATGAGTGGCTTATAGGAATGTTCCGAGCTTGCCTTGGAAGCCATTTCTCTTGTGACTTGCGCGTCTCTAGGGTTCATAAGCGCAGAGATAGGGAACAGATTGGCCGACATGGCGGCCGATGCAGAAGTGCAGAAAGCATTATCAGAAGTGAGAGAGAGCGCTACCCTGCCAGCTGCAGAGAAAGAAGCAGCCGAACGCTCAGTCCAGAGATTGTGCCGCGGGAACAAGGAACTGGCAACAGCTGACAAAGGCGAACTCATCGAACTCTACATCGCCATGAAACGAGTTCGAGGCGAGAACGCCAGGATTAACGCAGCTCACATCCTCGGATGGCGACAGAGGCATGTCCAATCGACTCTTCTCAAGCAGTCCTTCTTTGTGGTTCCACGCCGAGGAAGGGAGCATTTGGAACAAGAGATGGCAGCTTACATTGTTGATCCTTTGTCTTTGCCAGATTTGCCAGTGACGTTCAACAGCCAAGAAAGCATGTTGATGGATGATAGCGCACCCCGCAGCAAATTAGGGTTTGGCGTTAGCGTGCTGGAATTGGCAGCAGGGACGCAGCGGGATAGGACCTTGGATCGTACTGGGGATGAGCTAAGTAAGTCGCTACCTTCCGCTGTTTCCTCGAGTTCCAGCCATGAAGCCCCTGCTAAAGCTGCTGCGCCTACGCCAAGCCAGGTTGCAACGCAAGTGCCACGAGTGCCATCAAAGAGGATTTTGGCTGAGCAACCATCGGAGGAGGTCAGCGAACAGGCAGCGGCAGAGGCCATTGCTGGCCGCTTGAAACAGGCCTTTGACACGGGCAATCTTCACAATGAAGATGCTTTGGTAAATACATCAGCCACATTTTGGCTGAAAAAATACCAGGCAGGATGGTCAATCCGTTTGTCAATGAACAGAAGCCTTTTAGCGTTGCTTCTTGCCACTTGCGCCCTAGGCGCACCTCGAGTCGCTGGCACGATCATGGCGCCAGAAACACCCTGAGAATTCAGACATGTCAGAGTGCTTCGGCCGAATGTTAAGTCGAGGGCGACTATTTTTTCTTGTTGCCTGTTTGTTGGCTTGTTTGCTTGCTTGCCTGCTTACTGAGGTGCCGTCGGGGGCAGGGGGCGTGTGGCGAGGCGGCCTCACGCCCCGCCCCCGTGCTTCTCCGTGTCTTTTTGTTTGTTTGTTTGTTTGCTTGTTTGCTTCTTCGTTTGCCTGCCTGTTTGTTGCCTTGCTTGTTTGCTTGCTTGCCTGCTTACTGAGGCGCCGTCGGGGGCGGGGGGCGTGGGGCGAGGCGGCCTCACGTCCCGCCCCCGTGCTTCTGCCTGTCTTTTTGTTTGTTTGTTTGCTTCTTCGTTTGCCTGCCTGTTTGTTGCCTTGCTTGTTTGCTTGCTTGCCTGCTTACTGAGGTGCCGTCGGGGGCGGGGGGCGTGGGGCGAGGCGGCCTCACGTCCCGCCCCCGTGCTTCTGCCTGTCTTTTTGTTTGTTTGTTTGTTTTGCCTGCCTGTTTGTTGCCTTGCTTGTTACTTGCTTGCCTGCGTACTAAGGTGCCGTCGGGGGCGGGGTGCGTGGGGCGAGGCGGCCTCACAGCCCGCCCCCGTGCTTCTGCCTGTCTTTTTGTTTGTTTGTTTGCTTCTTCGTTTGCCTGCCTGTTTGTTGCCTTGCTTGATTGCTTGCTTGCCTGCTTACTGAGGTGCCGTCGGGGGCGGGGGGCGTGGGGCGAGGTGGCCTCACGTCCCGCCCCCGTGCTTCTGCCTGTCTTTTTGTTTGTTTGTTTGTTTGTTTTGCCTGCCTGTTTGTTGCCTTGCTTGTTACTTGCTTGCCTGCGTACTAAGGTGCCGTCGGGGGCGGGGTGCGTGGGGCGAGGCGGCCTCACGGCCCGCCCCCGTGCTTCTGCCTATCTTTTTGTTTTTCTTTTTCTGCCTGTCTGCTTGACTGCCTGCTTGTTTCTTCGTTTGTTTGTTCGCTGGGAAGAATGGAAGGGGGTACGCTAAGAGAATCACCATTCACAATGTGTTTAATGCTAAGTGCTTTCTTCCTATTCGGAAGGTTAGAGGAAGTGTATGGCAAATGTTGGTAAATGACTGCGACAGGTTTATGACATCCCTTGATCCGCACAGCAAGCTGGTGGTCAAATATGTGGTGTCTACGCTATTAGAGGTTGACTCCTTCTCTACCTTGCAGCCGTTTATCAAGATTTTCCACGACCTCGAGAAGGCAGTGCCTGGCTTCTTGCCGGACATGGCCAAGGCTGTTATGGAGCTCGGTCAGTGCGATTTCAACATTGGGGAGATACATAGTGTTGGGGAGTCCCTGAATTTGCACCAACAGACTAAGTTCTTCAACAGCAAGTTGTACGGTGGCTTTATGAAAGCCCGTTGTGCTCATCAAGTTGGCCAATTGCGCGCAGCTGCAGAAAAACCTTCAGTGGAAAGACTTGCTGCTGCTCGCCGCTTGTTGCAATCAGAACACATTGCACCGGAGCACAAAAGCGAGCTTGAGCAAGTCGTGACATTGCTGGGAGGGGCTTCCGATGAAGTGAAGCTCGCCTGGTTGTTGCAGGACATCGATCGTTTCGATATGCTCAGCGCTTGGTGCCCTAAGAGTGACCTCGGCAACGCCTACTATTTCGCACAGAGCCTTGCAATTGTTTGAGTCAAACAGAGTGATTTTGTCTTCGGAAGGAATGAAAATGGAACACATCACCGATGTTAGTCCCAACGTGTGAAAGAAGACGAGCCTTTTAATCAGTCAACAAACAACGCCGTTCCGTAGAGTCATGAGATTTGTTTTCAATGAACAAGAATGGTACCATCTCCCCCCCCCCCAGACCCCCCCCCCCCCCTGTAGCGCAAATAGGGCTCAAAGCAGAATGACAAGGCGCGGAGACTGATGCCTCTTTTATGGCTGCGCAGGTATTCTCTGTGAGAATGTGGGTTACGCCGCTGCAGAATGCACAAGCAAAGATATCAAGCTGTGACATTCACACGCAGAACAAAGTAGGATACAAGGGATTCCTACATTGCCGTAAGGGTCAATTATGTGCAATTCAAGCAAACCCCCCCCCCCCCCGAACCTCCGCCCGGCCGCGCCGATCTTGGTCCCGACGCATACCCTCTTTTACAGTAAGTAAGTTTGAAGTTCGTAGCGCATGTTGTTTGATTTTCTGACCTATGGCCAATCGACTGTAGGAAGGAGGTAGACTGGAGCAAGGTCCAGCCGGAAGCATTCCTGCGAGCATCTTCCCAGGTTGCTGCTCTAAAGGATTGCTTGCAGCATGTAGTGCATCCTGTCGCCCGTGCCCTTTTGGATGCTCGGTTGTTTACCGATGGGATTTCCCCTTTTGTTTTTTCTTTTGATTGAACAAACAATGCCATCATAATCTGAGTTTGACTAAGGACAAGTACGGCAAGTGGCTTGCGGTTTGTCGGAAATTCCCCAATATCGTTCCAATATGCGAGGGCATTTATCTCGATCTCGCAACTATCAAGTTGGGCGTCCCAATGCATACGCTCCCGGTGGCAGATTCCATTCAGAAGTTGTCCGAGGAAGAAAAAGATATCCTTCCTAAACTGGTGTCTTTGGTGGGCCAGAAAGACCTTGCCAGAGACGGCCGAGTTTTGGAAGCCATGCGTGATTTTTTGCCAAAGAATGAGGAAAAGTCAGTGGCGAAAGGCGATAAAATGGAAGCACCCCAGCCTGCACCAACAATAGATGAGAGCACAGGTCTCCCAGAGGAAGAAGCCAAACAGGGAGATGAAGGAGTGGTCTCTCCGCAAAGTTTTCCGATCGGTGCCAAAGTCCGGATCCATGTGTCTCGCTTGAAGCGGAAATTCGATGGTCAGCTAGCAGAAGTCGAATCGGTTGGCCAGAAATTCGTTAAAGTCAGAATGTTGACAGGCCCAAGTATGACTGAGACAAAGCAGTTCCTGCCAACGTGCATAAAGCTGGAAGAGCCTGTAAAGGCTGCTGAAACAGAAAAAACATCAGCAGCATCCACAGCTGCTCAAAGAGCGGAAGCCATGTTTGGCAAGTGCGATGATATTTAGAGATGTTCCCGATGAGGCCGCGCGGAGAAAAGGCTATGCTAGACCAAGGGAAACCCCCCCTTGTTTCGCGACCAGTTACGCTATGGAAATGATTGCCGGCGGTTGGTTATTAAAATACAAGTCGGGCCATTGCGGGTAACATATATTGGGGAGACGCAAAAGGACACTAAACGACGCTAATTGGCATTGGTAAACGCTAATCTAGGCCCCCAAGAGTTTACACCTAAATGTGTTGCAGGAACTGGGGCTGCGGCCTCACGAGAGTACCAAACAGTGGGAAGCCAACCAGCGGTAGAAGGAAGAGCAAGGATGACACAGGAGGCACCAACAGCGTGTGCAGAAAAAGAAGCAATGTGGTAGTGCAAGTCACGTCCTAAGGTAGGCTGATATTTGTGCTGTGGTGGAATCACGGTCCGTGTTCCTAAAGCACGGACGATGGCTCCCCTATGGGCATAGCCAAGCCCGCTGATGACTGGAACTGTTTGCCCAACGCAACATGGCTCACCCGTGATGAGAGGTAGGCGTAGCACAAGGCCCTGTTCTATCTGAGCTGCAGCCTGAACCAGTGTCTGGGGCATGTCCTGTCTACGCATAGCAGGCGTGCGTTGCTTGTGCAATTCCTCGAGAAAGCTACCTAACGGCAGTGTGGCATAATGGGACCAATAGACCCGCAGGTGGCGCCCAGGAGAAAAAGTAACAATGACAGTCCAACCAGTTGGAGGAATACAGCCAGCAGCATGAACGGAAACAGAGTCACCGCAATCACCAACAAGTAGGATACAAGAAGTGGCAGCAGACGCAGTTTGTTCCCATTGCCGTAACCAGAGGCAGATTCCAGCAAGGTTGGGTGATTCAGGATCACATATGCCTAGGGTATCGAGCAACCCGATTTGCGGGAAGATGGATTCTTCACCTGAACACAGGGCCCGGAGGGTATGGTCGGTATGTGGAGAACACTGGGCGATACGCAAAATGCTGGGGTCCTGAGAGAGATAAGCAAGAACAGAGCGTGGCTCAGACAGAACAGGTTTGGGATCAGCAAGAAACGTAGGGGGAGCAGGAGCAACACCAGCGAGCTTAGGCTTGATCAGAGGGGGCGCGCATCACATGCCAATAGTCTTCAGTGCTAAAGGGATCCCTGTAGGAAAGGGATCAGAGCAACAGTAGCCCAACAAACTCTTGTCAAGAGAACCAGCGTATTTAGCAAGAAGTACGGAAGGAGAGCATGGCTGCCAGACCTGTGGTTCAACTTCGCCACACTTGAGGCGGCCGAGGTAGTGCTTGCCTCCTAAGGCAGTAACGACAGCGCTGGGCTTAAAATAGTTTCCTATGAGGTCATGCATGAGCCTGTCAGGAATGGTGACATCATGCATAGAGTCCTCTCCGAAACTAGTAAGCTCAGCGTCAACAACCTTTTCGGCAAGCAAGGGAAGCCGGAAGGGAAGCGCAAAGGAGGGTGATAGGCACTAGTGGTAAATCTGATGTGCCCACAGGGCGTATTTCCCCTAGTACGTAGCCAAGGTGGCATGGGTGGAGTGTTAGGCTTGTGGCTAGGCTTAGGCAACATCCATCCATGCTGCCACGGATCAGCTTGCCTGGAGGGCAGGATGTAGGAGGTATTACTCACAAAGAAGTACCGGTTCCTAGAAACAGCAGACCACGTAGCAGTATTTATGCGATGAATGCAAGCCGCAAGTATCCTGTATGTACTGCCGAAAAAGGGGGGCCATGCTACCAGCATTTTCGAGCATAGGGACGACTCGATGCGCAGCACCAAGCTCCTTAAGTGCATACATTACAATGTATACAACATGGTAATGGACACTCCTAGTGCCTGTGATGCCAAGTTTGCCACCACCGCGCCCAATCTTGGTGTTGTCCTGACAAGGTGATCCAGCGCCGAAGAAAATGAGGGCGTCTTTTGGGAGCAAGGCGAGGAATTCACGCAATGCAGCAAAATGTCGATGGGTTACCTCCCAAACGCCCGCGAGATGTCGAACAGGAGTTGTTACTCCCTTTTACCCACACAGTCGTGTCTTGATGGTAGCCATGGACAGCAGAAATTACCGCACGGATATCGGGATCAAGTTCAGCAATTAATAAGGCGGATGGGGGTCCAAGCTCGGCAGCGAGAGTGTCGGCAAAACTACCGCTGCCATCAAAAAAGCTTATAATACCATGGGGCTTCTGCCCTGTAGGCACTCCAGACCAATGGTGTCAGAATTGCAAAAAACCGCCCCAACAATGAAGGGTAAGAGATGTTCGACTTCGTCACTACTGATACGCGTGATGCCACGATTGGGGTGGTATGCAAGCCCACTGTTACCATCAAATGCTTCAAGGAGAAGCGGATTATCGTCATGTACAACAATAAGCCCAGTAAGGCGAAGCCGAACACGGGATGCTGTAACTTGAAAATCAAGCAATTGACCAAGTGCTGCGACAAGTGCTTTGGCAATCGATGGATCAGGAGATACTGCGACAATGTCAAGCGGATGTGTGAGCCTTCCACACGAAGGATCAGGCAGACCCAGCCAAGTAGTGTCGAGAAATGGGTGAACAGGGGCTCTACTAGGGTAGATGCGCTGTTTACCAGCCCCAATGCCAGTGAGCTGCCGAACATACCCTAGTGGGAGGAGAGAGATTAAGGTGGCGAGCGTGTCAAAGACGCTTTGATCGGCAATATGGGGGATGCTGTGCAGCTTCAATTACAACGTTAGGAGTAAGCGAAGCATCACAACTGCCAACGGCAAACTCAGCAGCGACAGCTTCAAGAAGGACTTGCCTAGGATGATTGCTGCTGTCAGTGAGTCGCCAAGCGCCAAATGCAAGAACGCGAAGGGCGACATAAAGTGTACGAAGGTCAAGAACCTCGCCACTTTGACTACATTGGGCATCAGGAGCTGGGATGGTGGCATCCTTGTTGGGAGGGGGAATAGGCGGACTGTCTACAGTAACTGCAACACATGCAGAGCTAGCTCTGTTGTCAAGACAAAGAATATCAATATCCTGATGCACAAGCGCGGGGAGCATTTCTTGAACTTGGCACAGAGTACCATAAACATAGAGCACACCACCTTGGTGCCAGCCAATGTGAACAGTAGATGAATCGTGAAAGAGGGCAACCCGATCGGAACCCTCAACTGTGATACGACACACAACATTTTGGTCAGGAAGAACATCGTCAACGGAATGTAGAGTGCATCGCGACCAACGCCGATCAGCGTCATACGGGATATGCAGTTCTGCAAAGATTTCTTCTTCAACCCCATCAGAACTGCAGGGCAGCGCAAGGACATGAAGGGGAGATTCAAGAAGAAGGGCCTGAGCTGATGTGTTGTCAAAGCTACGTAGTGTGACACAACGGGCATTAAGGCACAGCCGCTGGAACTGGGAAATGTTCGCGGGATCAGGAACAACAACGACAGGCATTCGTGAACTAGATATAGACCCATCAAGTTGCCTAAGCCGCTCCCAATGTCCAGTGGGCGTCTCAAGCGTGTTTCGTTTGGTCATTCAAAAGCTTCAGGTAGAATTTGCGCTACGAGATACCCAAAGAAAGACGCAACAGCGAAGCCTTGCTCTTGGAGAAACTCATAAACTCCTTGGAGTTGGTCGTCATGTCTTTGAGCAACAAAGACGACAAGGTCCTGCATTAGCTCGTTGTGGCCACTGCCAAGGTAGGCTTGGTGAAGACTGACGGCACAAGCCCCCTTAGTAGCAGAAAGAGCGCTGGCGAGTTGTTCAACCCATACACTGGTATCCAGTTGGCATGCGAGACTGTCATGGCTACGGTAGCTGACCACATTTGAATTTCGCCTATCTCCATAGACCCTAAGGCCGAATGGATTGTTAGTATCCGCTTGGAAGCCATTGCGAATGGGTAAACAGAGATCAAGCGATGATGTATCAAATGTGCTGGGGATTGCAGTGGCCAGTCACGAGAAAGATTCCCAATACGAATATGGTCATCTGATGTCTGTTGGAAGCCAAATGCAACAGTGTGATGCGTCCTCTTACCAACTCTCACCAGGCCAACACGAAAAGAGTCTTGAACGGAGCCATTGCGGCTGCCTGTGTTGCTGCTCTCGCTTGGTGCGCGCAACCCCGTGCGGCGGTGCTCGTTGATTTGTCCTGAGGTCTCCACTTTTCTGACGGTCAAAGCAAACTGAGATTCAGAGGGCTTCTATCGGTCACGGCAGTACAACAAAACTGATGAAAGGCGGTGATGGCCCTGGAGCCTGCAACTGTCTGATCTGCCGGTGGAATCACTTGCGGGAGGGTAAAGCCTTCTGCTGGCCGCTACATCGGCGCGAGCAGCTTGCGGCCCCCCCGGCAGGCATCCAGGGGGACATGTGGGCGCCGCCTGTGAGGCGCCCTTGAGCGTAGCTCGAAAGAATAATATCCTAAAGCCACGGACATTTTTTGGCGGCCCTGCGCTTTTGTGATGCTAGGCTCCTTGCAAAGCTCCCTATACGTTCCTTAGAAGGGTCCTCCTCAAAAAACTTCCTGCGAGCGTGTTAGCGCCCTATTGACAATGGTTTCTAAGAGCGTCCTTTTATGTTTCCGTAAAAGGCTCCCTAGAAAGCTCGGTTGAAGGCTCCTTAGAAAGCTGCTTGCAAAGTTAACGCCCCTTGGAAGCTGCTTAAAGCTCGCTATATTTTTTGACCATGCTTTCAGGCACGGATAACGCAGCTCGGAAGCTGGGGTCAAGCAGCTTGGACTTTGCAACGGTTCTTGCAGTTGGTAGACATATGGGCAGCGCGCACAATTGGGCCGACGATCTGAGTCGAGACCGCCTTGCCAGATTGCAGCATCGCCCGCAGAATCGCAGTAAACTCAACCTTAAAAGCTTGGGGCCTTGAGCTCCCCTGCAAACGCGTGTTGCTTTCAGTTCCTGCATTACAGGAACTGGCCCTGACCACGCTGTCCGGCCTTTTCCTCACTGGACGCGCACGTTCTGCAAGGGACTCAGGTCCCGACACTTCACAGACGCCTTGGACACACTTGTCGGGTTTTGATGTTTGAGCAGCTTCGTTTTGAGGGTTCACGGATGCTTAGGCTGGGAGCAGTGCATTCGGCCTTGAACGGTTGTGGAGCTTAGAGTTTCACTTGTAGAGTTTCAGACGAAGCCCAGGACCGGCTTGGTTTAAGGTGGGGTGCAAAACATGTAGGGAACCTACAGTGCCCTACATAGTCGGCATTTAGCCTTAGATGTTTGTGTATACTTTACCGGGACATCCCGCATGAATGCATTGCTCAACAGAAAACATGCCTGGCAGAACTTGGAGTCAACAACTTGGACTGTGGAGGCGTTTTGGTTTCAAACAAAATTAGCAGTCACGGACCATGATGTCGTTCTCAACAAACTTTTGTCTGTCCAAAACCATGATCGAGGCCCATCTGCCTGAATTACCTGTCATGTGACTTGACTGAATCTTGAAGCCTGGAACAAGCATGTGGCTTCAGTCGTGCTGAGCTTACATCACTGCCTGACCTTGCTCATTTGCACTTCTTGGAGACTGTTGACTACACACAGCAGGGAGCCGCCTGACAACAGCGAGGACAGTGTTTCTGTGCAAGATTTAAAACGACCTTGAAACCCAAGCATTCTCTCAACTCTTTGCAGGGTTTGGGCCACATCATGGGTCCTGCATACCTTATTCAAACTCAGCCACCATGTACCAGTGACCCTAGCTGGAGGTGTTCCAGGAACAGGCGCAGAATGCCTATGGTGTCGTATTAAACAACAACTTGAGCACTTTTGCTTTCAAGGTGTTGAATGTTGGAGTCTGTGTCTGGATTTGCTGAAGTGTTTTAGTCTCATGGGTCGTGCGTGTGTTGTGCTGATGCTGGCCCGTGTGGGAGTCCCCCAACATCTTGTCACAACCTGGCTATGTGCCATGGTGCAATCGACCCTCGTCTTACAGGTTGGAAGGCAGCATGTCAGAATAAGGGATCAGTACAGTCATGTCCGCAGCAAAAAAAGCATGAATGCATGGATGCATTTAGGCTTCAATGTGCACAGTCAAAAGGAGCGCGCCCGCTCGACAATTTTTCAATGAAAACACAACCTTGGCAAGTTTTTTTTCCGCCCAAGCAGAAAACCCATATGTACAGAATCCATTCCGCCATTGCAGATTTTGGCGGTGTTTTTCTTCGGAAAGTTGCCTGCTTGGTTGGGCGTGCTTACGCCAATTGGGCACAACTTGTAGTATTTTTCCCAAAGTTCCGCATCGCGGTGCGCAAATGTGCAACGTGCAAGGAGGTGGAATGAAGATCAAAAACAAGAAAATAGCGCAGCCATATGGTGCAGAAGAAGCGTTTCAACACAAGGACGCTTTCAATGCCAACCACTTGTTGAGATGCGGTGCTCACATACGATTGATTCCTTGCATGGCCATGTAGACAATTTATTTGCCACAAGGCAGCATGCTGGCTCAAAACATGTCCAAGCAAAGACTTGCACGATTTGAGCATGGCGCAAAGGGCGCTGATTTGGCTTCTACTGCTGCTTTGCATAGCGCCTTGTCGCAGTACGGGGAAGGGGCACGTGAAACAGACTGCATGACAAGGGGCGCCAGACTCGCCTGTTCTCAGCTTGGTGCGTGTTGCAGGTTCCGTCGGAATCGCAAGCGATCTTCAAGGGCCTGGGCCTGCGGCGCCCCAGGGTGGACATGACAGATCCTATGGCCAAAAATGCCACCTGCGCTTTTAACATCGTAGGCCAGGACCGTTGTCATGAGTGGCCCCACAAAAACAGAAGCTTTGTCGAGTCATGTGCGAGTCAGATTCTGGCATGTTTTGTTCTGGACAAATTGAAGACAGTGACGTATTGTCATTGCAAACAAGCTGTGCAGGTTCAGTGATACTTCTCCGGAGTTATTCAGGAATTTGCAATTCGTTCCTTTGTTTCTTCGTGCAACATGGCTGCAGGGCTGATGGTGGGCGCTGCCAAAATTGGCACTGCAGCAGCTACTGTGGAGCGGGCCTGCTTTGTGCAGCAGACCTCGCTGCAAATCTCGCGTTGCGCCACAACTGTGCAGAACGTGCTGTTCTCCTCGGCCGGGGCACAAAAGTGAGTGGTTTACCCATCAGCATGGCTTCTTGTTTATTGCGGTTTCCGATGTGCAGCATGTATGCATATGCACATCGGGACCAAGCACAAAGTCATGTTGCAAATTACATCAATGTGTTTTTGGTCCGGTCCTAATTGTATTATTTAGCATCCAGTGCACTTTGCCTGCTACTTCTCATGCTCCAACCGCATCTCTCTCTCTCTCTCTGTCTGTCTCTCTCTCTCTCTCTGTCTGTCTGTCTGTCTGTCTGTCTGTCTGTCTGTCTGTCTGTCCGTCTGCCTGTCTGTCTGTCTGTCTGTCTGTCTGTCTGTGTCTCTGTTGGTGTCTATGTCTCGGTGACTGTCTGTGGTGTGTGTGTGTGTGTTTCTGTGTGAACTCTGTTGGTCTCGAGAGAAAGAGAGAGAGACCGAGACAGACACAGGATACAGACGCAGACAGACACGGACACAGAGACAGAGGCAGAGGCAGACATAGACATGGACGGACAAAGCCTTGAAAATACGAAAGTTGAAAAGCACTAGAAAGAAGATATCATGGAATGCTTTTATCTGTGTTCCTGGATTTATGGTTTTCCAGCATTCTTATTTGGTTTTATTGTTGGTCAACAATTTTTATTAATAGCCACAGAAGGGATAATCCTATAGACGAGAGAAATTATAATGAAGAATCCAGATGACACGAAGGAATGGGTTCTGAAGCTATTTCTCTTCTCTTTGCCATATCTTCCTCTGTCTTCTTCATAATGTTGATAACGGAGAGCAAAAACATAGACAGAGACAAGAGAGAGACAGAGATAGTGACAGGGGCAGAGGACAGGGACAGGGACAAACAGTGGCAGGCAAACAAAGAAAGATGCAGAGACGAACAGAAGAATAGACAGAGACAGACGCAAACAGAGAGAGAGAGAGAGAGAGAGAGAGAGACAGAGACACAGAGACAGAGACACAGAGAGAGAGAGAGAGAGAGAGAGAGAGAGACAGAGACAGAGACAGAGACAGAGACAGAGCAGAGACAGTCACAAAGACAGAGACACAGAGACAGAAAGCGAGCTCGTTTGTCGCTGTCTTTGTTTGTTCCAGGCTCTGTTGTGCTTCTGTCTGCCTCCGACTGCCTGTGTCTGTCCGTGTCCGTGGGTTGTGAGAACCAGTCCAGTCCCACTGTCTGGTACTTCCGTTGTGAATCTGAGTTGTGTTTTTGTTTATAAGATAAAAATAACATGCCTTATTTCTGGCCTCAAGGCCTTCTTCCTGGGCTCCGTGGTGTCCGCGCTGGACTCGTGCAGCCGCACCCTGATCCCGGCGGCACGCTGCACCTCGCAGCGCGATCGCGTCATAGCCGTCCTGTCGATTTTGGGCAGCTCGGTGGCCAATTTGGAGTCCAGCTGCCGGGTGGTGGCTTCCCAGGTGCGTGACACTGGCTGACATGGCTGAACAAAAAAACGGTCCAGCTTTTTTGATGTTGGAGGCGTGGAGGTTTAAAATCGGTTGGATGAATTCCCACCCTGTGAGAACTCCGTGGACTGGGTGCCGCCAGCTGTGCGGCGCCTCTCGCCTGATCGGGTGAACCAGCCCATCCCGCTCGAATCCAACCGGACGTTGGCACAGCTGCCAGCGCCGCCTGGCAGGATGCTGAATGATGATCTGCTGCAGAAGATCAGGAGCCCGCATGAGCACGGAGATGGCTGTTGATGGGGACCACTTCACATTGCAATTTGGCTATTTGCTTGTTTAGGAGAGAGAAGACGAGAGAGAGAGAGTTTATCCTTGCGAGGAACAAGCTGGCAGCCAACGCTGAGAGAGACGAGCGACGCGCAAGCTGCGCAGTGGATGCCCTCCTCACCTTCACCTTGACTGCTCAGGAGCCAGCATCAACTTTGGATATGTCGTCCTGCTGGGTTGCGGGTTTTGCGGGGTCTGCTCCAATTGACCCCCTGTTCTTGAACAGTGCCAACCGTCGTCTGGGAACTCTTCAAGGGGACCGGCAGGAGGGGGGGGTGGGATCTGGGTTAGACCTGGATTTGCCAATACTTGATTTAGTATTGCCAACTCGAAAAAGCTCTTAGTAGTTGCTTAATTCAGTAGTGCCAATTCTAGATTTAATATTGCCAAGACTTACTCTCCAATTCCCTGTTCTTAATTTAGTATTGCCAAGACTTGCTTTTTGACTCTCAGTACTTGGTTTAATATTGCCAGATCAGATTCACCTCCCTTTAAAAGTAATTGCAAAGGCTTTGATCTTAGAATCTTTCACACACCCAAGAAAGCTTAACAGTGAAGCGACATTCGAAACAGTCAGATTAAAGAGAGTCAGGGGCTCTTGTGGGGCAACCCCCTTTGCGTGACTGTTTGGCCTGGGTTTGTTAAAATAAGAGAGACCTGAATGCACAAATCAATGTTTTGGGGACCACGTCAAAAATGGGAGTTTCTAGATTTACGTAAGGCCATTAGCGGCAAGGGCTTAGATAAACCACCATTCAACAGTAAAAGGCCGAGTCCTTTCTCTGTGTTTTTGTTGTCAGTTGTTTTGCGCGGATTTGTTGCCTTTGTTGTTGTGCCTTTTTTTTGTTCTTTCTTTATAAAAGCACACAAAACACATTTCTATTTTTGCAGTCACAGGATTCTGAATTAGGACAACAACCTTTATTTTTTTGCCGCTGAGCTTAAAGCGGCCCGACATTATGAGATGCCCATGCAACAATGGCATCCGATGTGTTTGTGACTTCTCATTTTTGCAGCAGTTTTGCCAAGCAAGGACCTGTTCATGTCTTGTAGTGCCGTTGAGTTGAACATCGGTGGCAGGACATAGTAGCAACAGTTGGCGTGGGCAACTACACCCCCTGTGACGAAGAAGATGTGGGAAGCGACAGACTTGGTCCGAGTGCGGCGTGCGTGGTGCAGCTCACTGGCATCATCTCCACCTTTGAGTACGTGGGATCATTGATTGCGCTGCTCTTCGCTGACGCTTTGGCTATCGGGTGGTGGGTTCGAGTGGGGCCGAAGTACTGCCGCGTGTTGGATTTAACAATTAGGGGTCATCAACGTTGCCAACCTCGATGAAATCATCAGCGTTGCCAACCTTGATGAAATCATCAGCGTTGCCAACCTCGATGACCCCTAAAGATTTTTTAGTCTTTTGCGTGTTGGGGTGTTTTCGTGGTCACAGGGATCTTTCAGGACAGGGAGGGGGGGCGGGTAGGGCTGATTGGTGGGATACCCTACACCTCTCCGAGGAGCTGTGGGCCGCTTTTTGGTTGAGACACATACACACTACAGTTCAAACATGTTGTCAACAATCGGGCAAACTCGAGGCAATACCAGGGTCGCAACTCCCAAGAAGGCATTCAAAACAAACTCCGACTATCTCAGCTGGTCAACAGTATGGGCCCCTTTTTTGGGACCTGGTCATTGACTGGGGTTCCAAAACGGAAGCCGTTTGAGTCACAACCAAAATTCGGTATTGAAATGGCCTACCCAGAACCCATTTGGTTTCAAAAGGTCTTCAAATCCAAATCTAAGCCACTTGGGAAGCTGAACACAGGTAAAATACGCGAGAAAACAAAAGAAAGAGCCACAGTCGCAGTCAAAGCCCAGTACTAAATGGCCTACCCAAATGTGAAGAACTGCAGCGGCCGCACCTAATTCTGGTTTTGGCTGCCGCACGTGCCTCCACACAAACCCTAGGGAAACCAAAAGGAGATGTTAAGAAGCGTCCACGTCGGGCTCCGCGTGGCTTTCTGGCTTATCTCGAGGAGTGCCCGGCCATGGTGGACTTTCGGGCCGCCTGCGCCTCGGACGCGCTGGCGGTGATCGGGGCGGTGACCAACCTTGTGCAGCAGGCGCCGGGGCTCTTGCTGCTCTGCGAGGAGCTGAGCCAAAAGAAGGCCCTCAAGGCCCTGGGTAGGGATGGGTAGGGAGGGGAAAGAGAAAAGAAAAACCGGGGGGGCGAAAGAGGGAAAAAACACCAGGGTTTTGGTGGCTCGGATGTGGTTTTTGCCTGAGAGCAGGGACACCTTGGAAGCAACAACACACCCATGTTTTATATTTGGTTTGCGTTTCTGTTATTTTGGTTCTTGCTGTTTAGATTTCACATTTGAGGACCCAACAAACAAACATGGGAAACCAAGCGCCCAAAACGATTGGGGACGTGTTGTTTTGTTGCATCTTGTTTGCTCCTGTATTTGGTTGAGCTTTTTGAACGTAAACAGCAACACGTACAAATACACCAAGTGTTCGTTGGCTACCGCATGCTGGCCAAAGACTGAAGCCTAACAGATGCACTGAAGACATTCGGTTGTTCAACATGCCCTCATGAATGACAATACCTTGCAGGCATGCCTTTACAAATGCTATGTTCAGAATGCTTCCAAACTGAACATGGAGTCCGTTTGAGAAACCTGTGCACTCCTGCACAAATTTGAAGAACTTCCTCGTTTAGCATGTTACCCTTAAAAGCTGAATTAAGAAGTCGAAACCGAGCAAACACCACTCTAAATTTGTTGTTTAGCTTGCGCCTTGACCGCAAAAGCTCGGTTTCAAAACAAAAAGGTCACTCAAAGGCTTAGTTGATTGTTTGTCCAAGATTCTTTCTTGGTTCCTCACCTTTTTTTGTGTTCGAGAAGGTAAACAATCAAATTACACCAGCAGAGACCCCAAACAGTTGAGGACTGACGGGCGAGCAGGCTTTCTGCGCTTCAACACGGATGAATCAAAATGATGCGGTCGTGAACCCGGCACGCGTTGCGTTGCTGCACACGTGTTGCTGGCGTGCTTCGCGCTTCAGCACCGCGCAGGAACTGAGGTTGGGCAAGCGCGCGCGATAGCGGGCGAGCGCGCGCGTGAACGCAAGTGTGGCTGCGAAAATGCGCGGTCACATGGGCAGTTCAGACACACATGTCCAATTCGGACACATGTGTGTGTACACGTGGAACACACATATGTATACGACTGAAACAGTACACGCGGCACGCGCAGATGGCACCCGTGAACACACACATATTCATTCACCCGCGGCACATGCATACATGTGTTGAGCTGGATAACCAACGTGCTTCTGCTTCTCTGCTTCTTGTAAAGCACACACACACACACGTGTACACCTGGAACACACATATGTGTTCACCTACGACACGCTAATGTGTTCACGTGGAACACACATGTGTTCACTTGGAAGACAATGAAACGCGTGTCCATCTCAGACACACATGTGTGTACACGTGGAAGTGTGTTCACCTGGAACACAAGCACGTGCAATTAATGCACACATGTGTGTACATGTGGGACACACATATGTGGAGCACAAATATGAGTTCAGAAACACCGCGTGTGCGATTAAAGCGCACATGTGTGCACACGTGGAACACACATATGTGCACACATGAACCACGAAAATATGCTTACCTAAAGTGCACACACACACATGTGCGCACCTCAAGAGCAATCATGCGTTTTCTGGAGCACATACATGTGTACACCTGGAGAGCAAGTATGTTGTCAGATGCAAAAAATGTTCACTTAGGACATAGTAATGTGTTCACGTGGAACACACATCTGTTTACCTGGAACGCAAACACGTGTCCAAGTGGAACACACATGTGCGTACACGTGGAACACGCATATGTGTACACGTGACCACACACGTGAGCACTCACATATATATATATATATATGCAGGAACACAAACCAGTGTGCTCATCCGATAACAACCGTGTGTTCTCCTGGAACGCATACACGTGTCCAATTGGAACACACATGTGTGCGCACGTGAACACACACATAAATATATATATATATACACATTTGTGCGCCCGGAACACACACAAGTGTTCATCTGAAAACAAACATGTGTTCACCTAGAACACACACACACGTGTCTGAGAAGAACACACATGTGTGTACGCGTGAACACACATGTGCACACGTGTGCACAAGGGAACACACACATGTACTGCACACGTGAACACACACATTTACGTGCACGCAGAAAACACAGACACACAAGTATTCATCTGATAACAAACACGTGTTCAAACACGTGCCTAGTTGGAACACAGAAGTGTGTACACGCGAACACACGTCTGTGTACATGTGGGACACACATATGTGCACACGTGAACACACACACATACATATATATATATATGTATATATCTATGTGCGCCCGGAACACACACTCACGTGCGTTCATCTGATCACAAAAATGTACTCACCTGAACACAAACACGTGTCCAATTGGAACACACAGGTGTGTACACGTGAAAACACAAATGTGTACACGTGAAACACACATATGTGTACAAATGAACACACATACATGTGCACGCGGAGCAGACCCACACACACACACGCGTTCCCTGGAGCACAAACACGTGTCCATTGGGAACGCACATGTGTGCACACGTGAACACACAAATGTGTACACGTGGAACACACATATGTATACACGTAAACACACACACACACCTATATGCACACCCGGAACACGCACACACACACACACACCCGCGGGTTCGTCTGATAACAAACATGTGTTCCTGGAACACACACACACATGCGTACACCTGGAACCCATTTGTGTGAATGTCTGGAAACCGCATTTTTGTTCACCTGAAACACACATTTGTGTTCACCTGGAACCCGTACATGCGCTCACTTGGATCAGGCATTTGTGTTCACGCGCAACACTGATTCAGACCTGGATCGCGCAAACATGTTTAACCAGAACAGACTTCTGTGCTGACTTCTAACACACATATGTGTACACGTCGAACACACGTATGTGCGCATGTGGAGAAACATGTGCGACACATTTGTGCAGCACGCATGCGTTCGCCTGGACAACAAGCATGTGTTCACATGGAGTTGGGATTCTCTGCACGCCTGTGCGACACAGAAATCAAGTTCCCGAAGCCGGCTGTGAGGCGCTATTCCATGGGCTCTGCAGAGCCTTGAACAACGTTTGTGTTTTATATGCGTGTTCCAAGTAGGAAAATAGTGTTCGTGTGCGATCAACCGAGCAATTTTGCAACACGTTGCTGGCGCGCGAGCGTGCTGCTGCTGCTACTACTGCTAATACAATCAGTATCGGATGCATCTCCAGCATTTACAGGCTTCATCTTAGCAAAAGCTTTCCAGCGCATTGCGCTTCTTTCTCGCTTGGCTGTGCAGTGTTTTGTCGTATTGTGGCAACTCTTCGTATTGATTCAGTCACGCGTTTGCTTTCGCAGGGAAACACACAACCCAATTCTTCCGTATGCTCGGTACAAGGCATCCCTGCCTTCTTGCCTCAGCCGTTTTTTCTCACGTTGGAGGAGAGCGGAAGCAAAGTTGCATTGAGGCGTACCTGGGAACCGGTCACAGCTAACCACTCACTGTGCTGGCGCCTTGCTCGCGCGGCTAGCGCGGGTTCGCCTTCTTTTTTTTTTGAGTCACGACGTGCCAAATTAAGGCCACGTAAGAGGAGTAAGAACTGCAACATAACACCTTTGAAAGCCACACATCCATCGCAGCAACCCACGAACTCTTGGAAACCAACATCACGTGCAAATCAAGCGCCGTCCTAGCGCCTTTAGTGGGGAGCGGGCAATCCATTGCTATTTGCAGGACTCCGCTTTGTATGCAGGAAAAACTGCACAAAGTGACTGCGACGGTGGCCTCTGTAGACTAAGCTCCCTTACTCCCTAAGATTCTTGACCGGATCGCATATGTGTTGTAAGCTTTCACCTGGAACACAAACATGTGCTCACGTGGAGCACACTCATGTGGTCACACGTGTTCAATTGGAACGCGCCGATGTGGTCCGCTGGAAAAATCAAGAACGCACAATCATTCACTTGAAGCGCTCAGGCGTGCGTCCACAGCACGCTGCCTGTGGCTTGATCAAGCGCACGCGCGCGCTGAAACACGCGCTGCTGAGCCTCAAACACACATGCCTGCCCGCGGAGCCAGGCGTTCCAAAGAAGGAGACAAAGGACAATTGAACACGCCCAAGCCAGTGGGAAACAAATGAATCCGTCCACCCAGAGGCCAGGCATCCAGGCAAATGCCAGGCATCCAGGCTCGGACAACAAGAGACAAAGACCCCGAAGGAGCAGGCAGCCAGGCTGGGAGACAACGAGAGACAAATGAACATCCAGCCCAGCTTCATTTGTCTGCCGTTGAATGAAGGGAGAGAAAGGGAGACACACGCAGACATGCCAGCGTGGTGTCCGGCCAGCCGGGCTTCGAGGGGAAGAGCTCCCTCAGCCTCCCCTTGGCCTGCTCCAGCGTGGGGCACCCCTCCTCCCCGACCCGCAGCCACTTCACAAAGTCGAAGACGCCGGGGTTGGAGCGTTCTCCGTGAGCTCGTGCCGGTGCCCGCCGGCCAGGTCCCGGCTGGCTGTGCTCCAACGGGGCGCTGGAGTCCAGCACGGAGCTGCCGGAAGTCGCCCAGCAGCAAGAACTTCACGTCGCCGTTCAGCCCCACGCAGGCCAGGTCCGCCCAGAGCGCCATGTCCAGCTGCGTGATCTCCTCCACGACCAGCCAGTCCAGCCGCTGCGCGCTGCCCCCGCGCACGTACCTGCGCACCCAGTGGTCGGCCGTCTGCGCGCCAGCCCCAGGTTCTGCGCCGAGCAATGCGTCTTCGAGACCAGGTGCACCGCCTCGCCCTGCTCTCGCAGCCTCGCCACGATCGTCCGGGCCAGGTGCGTCTTCCCGGTGCCCGGCAGGCCCGAGCAGCAGGTTGCCCGCCAGGCAGTGCTCCACGGGGTCGTCCGTCTCGTTCCAGCTCCTTCTCTCGGCCGCCGCAGCCGCTCCGAGAAGCGCTTCGAGCTGCGTCAGCAGGCAGTCCGTCTTCACCTGCGCGTCCAGGATGCGCGCCATGCAGTGCTAGGTGCCGTTGCTGCCTCCGGGCGT